GGGCGGAGGGGGCGGAGCCAGCCGCGCACCAGACACGACCAATCCAGCCGGTGCCGCGCGCCTGCGAGAGGCCGCGGGGATCGGCCGGCGATTGGTCAGGGCTGTTAAAGGAGCTGCGGCGCGGCGGACAGGAGAGAAGCGGCCGCCCCGAGGTACAGCGCGTTACCTGGCCGAGTCCCAAGGGGCGGAGCAAAGAGTTTCTCTCTCCCAATGAGGCTGAGGCGCTTACCCCAGTTTTTTTGTTTTTTTTTTTTCATTACTTAATTTCCTCTTCCCCGCAATTTAGCAACAAGTGCCTCCAACCGGGAGGGAAACCGAGGTTACAAAAAATCTGGAGCTCTCTAGCTAGGCAGATTTCTTACGAATTGGGGTCTTAGGAGGTGATCGGACACATCTGTCCCTGTCCTGCCAATTCCAGAAACTGGTTAAAAAGGCAATTTCCGAGCTCCTCCTCCTCCACACCTGACTGTAACAACCAATCCCAAACTGATAAGTAGAATTAACGCCTAGAACTCGTGTGACGTAAATAAGTCATATATTCTAATCTTGGGTTTTTTGATACAGGGTCTCCTGTAGAGCAGACTGGTTTCAGATTCGATATGTAGCCAAAGATAGCTTTGAACTCTTAGCTTCCTGCCTCGGCCTCCCAGGACTGTAGGCAAACATCACCACACCTGAATAACATAAATTTACCTTAGAGAGAAGGTGTCTGGGGGCGGGAGGCGGAAAATTACTTTTAAGATGCGTTTTCACTTAAAATGACTTTCTTGGGATGATGAGGGACATTTTACATTTACCAATTACTTACAGAGTAGACGGGGGTCACCAAGGGCAGGCAGGACGCTGCCTGTTGGCAGATTGGGACAGAACTCTCTGGTTACCCTCTTTGCCTTCAAATGAGTGGGTCCCACACTCGAGCATCAGACCATCCCAGAGGTTTTAGCATGCAGATTCCTAAGTCTCACACAAAGTCTCTAATTCGCTATCACTGAATGGGTCTGTGACATTTCAACACTCTTTCCCCAGGAGATTCCACTAGGGAGGACTCCGAGAGCCATGCTCTTTTGAGTCTGTGATAGCTGTGACATCAAAGCTCAACCGTCAAAATAAAGCCAGACTCTTTTTTTTTCTTTCTTTTTTTCTTTTTTTCAGAGCTGAAGACCGAACCCAGGGCCTTGCGCTTGCTAGGCAAGCGCTCTACCACTGAGCTAAATCCCCAACCCCTAGAACTCTTCTTTATGATCCAAATCCATAGCCTGTTTGGAAGACTTGCTAGTCAGTAAATCTAGAGATCACAAACTCAAACCGGTGGGTTCCCTGCATGGGACACAGCCAGGGTTGAATTTAGAAGGGCCCTCGAAGCAACAGATAGAGTCAGCTTGACCTCCTGCTGGAGGAAAGGGCAAGGCACGCAGGAAGTCAGTCTTGTTCTCTGACCAGTGAGACAACGCATAAACATTTGACTGGCACACACGCCTTGGTCGACACTCATCACTAGGACCAGTCATAACTCCAGAAGGATACCCTGCCCCCTTGGTGTCACATTCCAATGTCATCATCAAGCCCTACTGCCTACCCTCCGGGCCAAATTCCTCTTCAGGCCCTAGAGTCCCAGACACCTGTGTGACCCAGAAGTCACTGCCCTGGATTTGGAGGTCAGCCCTTGTATAGTCAAGTTTCACTACAGGAACAGAATGGATGGCACGGATACATAAAACAAAGGGGACTTACTAGATTGACTTACACGATACAGTCTGTCTTCACAGTAGAGAGACGGAGAATAGAGAGCCACTCGGGCCCTGAGGCCGGATGAATCAATAGCCCTCTCTTTCATCAAAGGGCTGGAGGATTACTGGGGAGACACTAGACTTCAGTCCATGTTGAAAGTCCAAAGAAACAGGCTTCTGACGTCAGCGAAACATCCTGGCGGCAGCAGTAGCGGTCACCATCAAGAAGCAAAGACAGGCAGGCAGAAAAGCACAAACTCTCCTCTCAGACCTCCTCAGAGCCTCTGCAGAAGGTTCCACACAGCCAGCCTAGTCAAGAAAATCCCCCACAGGTGTGCGTGAAGCGCTCCTAGCTGGTTCTAGAGCCAGTCAACGTGACAGCCAAGATTTACCATTACAGCTTCCCTTCCTTTTGCGCTGATGAACACTGTGTTTAATGGGCATGTCAGCACTCGGGTCAGCCTCATCAGGGTTACAGACACATCTGCCTGGAACCACTGTTTGCCTCCCTCAGTCTTCTCAAAAGCAAATGAATTGTTGCTGGGTGTAATGATCACGTGCGGAGCTTGGAATCCCAGCACTGGGAAGGTTGAAGCTGAAGGCTTGCCCTGAGTTTGAGGCCAGCTGGGAGAAGAGAGAAGCAAGGAGAAAAAAGAGAAAGAGGGAGAAGAAAGAGAGAGAATAAAATCTTATCGTCTTGATAGGAGAGGGATCTAATCATTAGTACCTGTATGACGGAGCCAAGGTGCCACCATCTTGTCCCTGTTGCAGCCATCTAAGGGCTGACTTAGAGCTGACAGCCCTCCCATCCTCCCACCACCCCCCTCCCCCCCTCCCCCCCACCAACACCTCTTCCTATAGGAAAGTCTCTTAGAAAATTACCAAACTCTGCCCCAGGGAACTTGAGGTCAAGATGCCCCAACTAACTGCCACTTTTTGCTTCTGTTAAACTGCTTGCTTGCTCTGTTTCCTCCTGCAACTGCCAAACAGGATTCGGTTTGGTTTTTGTTTTGTTTCCCTTTAAAAGCTCCCTGCAGAAACCAGTCAGAGCTGCTCTGTGAGAACTGTTTCTCCAGGCACCTGATTCTCAAATTCAGACCAGTGTTCCTTGGGGTCTTTGCCCCGTGAGGCCTGGAACCACTAGGCAAGCATGGATATCAGTGGTGACACAGCTTTAAGCTCTTCTTGGCCGCATATCCAAACTGTCACCCTAGGGGTTGGGAGGGGACAGAGATATGGTGACCACCTCCCTCCTTGCCCATACCTAGCCTTCTACAAATATACTTTTCAATTTATTGTCAGCATGACCTCCAACTAAGGACAATAAGGTCTAGCGTGAAGACCTGGAAGAGGCCCTTTTTTAAGAGTGACGATTTTGAGACATCAAGCTGACTCACCAGGTATAGATGCCCATCACCAAGCCTAACAACTAAGTTCAGTCCCTGGGCCCCCCCTGGTGGAAGAAGAGAACTGACCCTCAAAGGATGTCCTCAGACACTGAAGCACAGACACACCCACACATACACACATGAAATAAATAAATGTAATTTAAAAAGAAAAGAGGCTGGGAACGGAGGCACATCCTTTGATTCTTTCCCTCAGGAGGCAGAGGCATGGGGATCTTTATGAATTTGAGGCCAGCCTGGTCTACATAGCAAGTTCTGAAGTAAGACATGCGCACACACTCATCTCAACTAAATAAGTGAAAGAAAAGAAGATTAAAGAATCTGTGTGCTTTGAAAATCTGAACAAATAATAACTTAATGCCGATGCCTCCTCCTAAGAGGTCACTGTACTCCAGCCATCATACCAAACCCCCGGCACATGGGAACTCATTGAAACTGTATAGTAACCTGCCGTGGTAGACATGATTGTCTCCAGCCTACAGGTGTAGAACCTCGAACTCACAGAGGACCAATGGTGTGTCTAAGACAGGGATAGCTGGCTAGAGAGCCAGCACCCCTGACCCTAAAAACGAGGCTCCTCCTAACCGTTCTGCTACAGAGCCTGACAAAACACCTCTTGCTGCCAGGCACAGCATAACTTCACAAGGCAAGAAGCAAACAGCACTAATCTGTGCCAAAAGGAAAGACAATACCGGAGCACAGCTTTGGAGTTTAAGTCCAGGTCCCATCTGCCTGCCCTTGACTCGAACAGTTATATAATTAAAACTCTGATTATCAGACTGCTCATCTATAAAATGGAAATAATTTTCTTTTTGAGATAGGTTTCCATGTAGCTCAGGCTGGCTTCAAATTCACTCTATGGCCAAGGATAACTTTGAATTCATTCTCCTGCCTCTACCTCATGAGTACTAGGATTATAGGTGTGTACCACCATGCTCAATGTGTGCATTGCTAGGAACTGAACCAGGAATTTATACCTGCTAAGAAAACACCCTACCAACTGGGCTATTCTCCCCCTCCATCCCTGGAAATAGCAAATTCTGCCTCTTTGGGCTTGCACAAAGATCACATTAACTAGAGACCATATGTGACTATACAGATGGCCCCAACTCAGGATGGTTCAGCTGATGATTTTTATAAGCAATTTTTGAGGGGTACATATGTGCCACTGCATGCATGTGGAGGTCAGAGGACAACTTGTGGGAGGGAGTCAGTTTCCTCCTTCCACCACGTGGGTGACATGGATCGAACTCAGGTCATCAGGCTCGGTGGCCAGCACCCTTACTCATGAGTCCTCTCTCTGGCCCCCGCCGATGAGTTCTAAATGTTCTGATAGGATAAATGTGAAAGGCATTCAATAGAAACTATGCTTCACATGTTGATATTTTCTCACATTGTCAGGACGGGGCATGGTACTTTCTCAATGCTGGGCAATGGCAGTGAGTGACAGCTCCCACTCAACCATGTGACTGAGCGGAAGTGGCCACTACTCCACAGCATGCTCTGAGACTAAACTCTGAAGACTGGGAAGTGAGATGTACTTAATGCATTTTTGTTTGGTTTACTTCTGACGTAACCTCACCCTAGGTCAAGGAGTATAGAGACATGTGTTTTGAACTTACAAATGAAGAGGATTTTATGCAGGTCGGGGCTGGGATGCTAAATTTACATATCAGCTAAGGTTCCTTTCTTTATATCCACGCCCTAGATGTTCTAGATGCAGAGCGTGCACAGAGTGAACTCACAAGGTCTCCTTTCAAGGTCTCCTTACGGTAGAATCTTCTTTAAACCACATTTTTGTTTATTTTGTGTGCACATGTGTATGTACATAGGCATGTGCATGCCTGGATGATATGTGGAGGTCAAAGGACACTTACAGGAGCCCATACCCGCCCACCATGTGGGTCCCAGGGATCAAACTCAGGTCATCAGCCTTCGTGGCAAGCATTTTTGCCTACAGAGCTGCCTTTCCAGCCATATGGTAGAATCTTAGAAACTTCAAGATAATCCTTTTCTCATGAAACTATAAACAACAAAACTAATTCCATTTTTGCCACAGTCTTGAACATTTGGAGAGAGAAATGGTTAAGAAAAGCACAGGTTAGCCAGGCGGTCTTGGTGCACACCTTTAATCCCAGCATTCGGTAGGCAGAGGCAGGCAGATCTCTGTGAGTTTGAGGCCAGCCTGGTCTACAGAACGAGATCCAGGACAGGCACCAAAACTATACTGAGAAACCTTGTCTTGAAAATCCAAAAGAAAGAAAGAAAAAGAAAAGAAAAGCACAGGTCCAGGCATGTAGCTCAGTTGGCAGAATGATTCCCCAACACTTAGGAAGCTCTAGGTTTGAGTCCCAGCACCACATAGACTAGACACGATGGCATACACCTGTAATCTCAGCACTTAGGAGGTGAACAGAAGATTAAGAGTTCAAGGTCAACTTCAGCTACATGGCCAGCCTGGGCTACATGATACCAGAAAGGAAAGGAGAAGGGGGTAGGAAGAAAAAAAAAAGAAAACAAACAAACAAACAAACAAAAACAAGACTAAAAGTTAAACAGCTTGTGCATCTAACAAAGGTTGGGGACCCATTGTGTTACAGGCTGTACCAAACATTCCAGAATTCCAGGTGGACTGACGGGCAGCAGTGCCCTGATGGATTTGGGACACCAGATCTAGGTGTCCTGTTGACTGGGAGAGCCGTGTAGACTCCCTCAGGTGTACACCCAGGAGTGCTGGGGGGAAGGACTAGACCTTTATCAACCCCAGAGGTTCCCAATAATGTTTTAGGGTAACCAGATGGAAGTTGTTAAGATATAGTAATAAAACCCAAATGAACCAGATGTAGTGGCTTATATCTGTAACCCCAGAAGGAGGATCGGAATTCAAGGTCACCTTTGGCTGGACAGTGAATTTGAAACCAGGCTGGGCTACATAAGAAATGGTCCTGGCCAGGTGATGGTGGCACACACCTTTGATCCCAGCACTCAGGAGGCAGAGGCAGGTGGGTCTCTGTGAGTTCGAGGCCAGCCTGGGCTACAGAGCGAGTTCCAGGAAAGTGTTGACACTGAAACCAAGGGAGAAAAGGTTCTTTTTTTTCTTTTATTAATTTATTTATTTTGGTTTTCCGAGACAGGGTTTCTCTGTGTAGTTTGGTGCCTGTCCTGGATCTCGCTCTGTCCAGGCTAGCCTCGAACTCACAGAGATCCGCCTGGCTCTGCCTCCCAAGTGCTGGGATCAAAGGCGTGCGCCGCCGCCGCCGCCGCCGCCACCACCGTCACCACCACCACCACCACCACCACCACCACCACCACCGGACTAGGTTCATTTTTTTTTTAAATTGTCGACAAAAGCAATGTAATAGAGGCTGGAAATACTGAGCCTCTCTGGAGCCAAGCGAAGAAGAGATATGAAGAAAAGAGAATATGGAGGCTGAGGGGACTGAGGAGACAGGATGTTACCCTGGGACGGGAAGATGGTCAGAACTGGATGAGAATGAGGAGGGGCGTGGTGCTGATTCATTCATAGGCGGAGGCAGGAAGCGGAGGAAACTCTGGCCTGATGGCTTCTGGCTTTTAGTTTATAAGTAGGAATGAGGTTAATCTCTTGAGACTGGGTAAGGAGCCAATAGCCGAGAGGCTTTGTGGCAAACGGTGGCTGCTGGGAAGGCCATGCAGGGGAATGAAAGACGGAGCTGCCACCGGAGAGGGGGTGTCCCTATGCAGCACCAAGGACCCTGCATTCCTTACATTTCTTGTAATTAAAATATCTGATAAAAGCAATCTAATGTAAGACGGTTGATTTGGGGGGGTCGTAGTTTGGGGGTGCTGCCTAGCACGGTGGAGAAGCCATGGTGGCCGCAGGCCTGGGAGGCAGCAGCTGGTCACATTGTGTCCACAGTCAGGACTCTGAGAGATGAAAGCAGGGGCTTAGCTCTTCCTCTCTTTCTCTTTCTGGTTCCACCCGTGACCCCTCCCACATTTAGAATGGGTCTCCCCACCTCAGGTAGTTCAGCCTAGAAACCCCTCACCAACGTGCCCAGATGTTTGTCTCCTAGGTGACCCTTCATAGTGTCAAATTGACAACCAATATTAACCATCATGTCACAAGCCTGGATGTTTAAGACAACAGATCATGCTGGGCGGTGAAGGCACATGCCTTTAATACCAGCACTCGGGAGGCAGAGCCAGGCAGATCTCTGTGAGTTTGAGGCCAGCCTGGTCTACAGAGCGAGATCCAGGACAGGCACCAAAAACTACACAGAGAAACCCTGTCTCGAAAAACAGCAGCAAAAAAAGACAACAGATCTTGGGGCCTTGGCCACTGGGTCAGGCCTGAAGAATTCAGGGTCAGTGACTAACTGGGACAGGAACAACAGTACTGGGAGAACTCGGTACTGAGCGGCTGAAGTGATGTGTCACGGGTTCTCTCTTGTGTTGGATGATGAAAGAAGAAAACCAAAAGAGCAAGAGCTGGGAACAACCAGACTTCCTGTTCATCCAGGCACAGAGGAGGCCGGGCAGTCGCAGGCAAATTCTGAGCAGTGATAAGGTCAAGTGTGACCACAGCAGCAGAGCACTTAACTTCTAAAGGGACTTGACTCTGGCTCCTCTGTGGAGACTCATCTGAGACCTGGCACAGCCCTCAACTGCCCACACTATCTCACCCCACGGGAGCGAGACTCCATGGTGGATGTCGGGTAGGGAAGGGCTGTCCTCTAAGCTAGCTTTCCTTCAGAAGGACAACCTGTTGATAATCAGGGGTTCTGCCATCTGCCTCAAGAGAGGAGCATTTGTCGAAAGGCTTTCTGAGGTGATGATTGTAGATGCCACCTCACTTGGAGGTCAGATGGTCTTGCAAAGAATTACTTTCGTTTTGTTTTGTTGAGACAGGGTCTCTTGTAGGCCAGCCCAAGCTTGTTTCAAACCTTCTATGTAGCCGCGGGTAATTTTGAACTTCTGATCCTTCTTGCCTCTGCCTCCCATGTGCTGGAAGTATAGACATGGGCCGCTGTGCCCAGCCATAAAGAACAATTCTAACTCCAGAGGTGGGGCGGAGGGCGGTGTGTAGAAGCACAACCCACCTACACAGAGTCCTGCCTCCAGCCCTGCCTCTTTCAACCCTTCAGATTGCGGAAGTCGGAAGACTCACTTAGTGATACCTCTATTCACATAAACACAGAGGAGGCGCGCACCACCACCACCACCACCACCACCACCACCACCACCACCACTTTTAACTTAAAAATGGTGACTTATACACCCTAATGCAATACAGCTAGAAGTAGCTGTCAGCTCCCCACAAGGTTGCTCAACAGAATTGTGAATGGAAATGCTGGACTCACCAGCCTCTGCCATCTCCACATGGCTGTTTAATGACCACTTGATTCAGAAAACAAAGACGGTCCATGTTTGGGTGAGAGCTTTGACAAAGAATGTTTAGATCTGTTTTGACCAGAACGGCCTAAAGCTAAGAGACAAAAGCGCATGTATGAACACACTGGGTGTATACATGCAAGATGCATTCCTGAGGCTCAGGGGACGGAGCAGGGATGGGGTAGAGACGCTTGAGATGTGGTGTTAGGGCGGTGGTGTTCCTGGCTGCTTGGTTTGGGGGGACTGTCTGAGAAGCCGCTCTGGGCACCTCAGATGCAGAGGAATTCACGGTGTTTACTCACTGTCTCCTGCACTTGTAGGTGCCAGGCTTTGCTGGGGGGTGGGGGGGTGGGGGTCTCAGTCCTGCTTCCACGTGTACTGGCTTGGCACACAATGGCTTTCCACATCTGCTAAACCACTGTGTCAGCAGCAGAGAGCATGGGACTAGACTGAGAGGTCCCACATGCACACTGGAGGCCACGTACAGCCAACTGCAGCTCCCAGAGTCAGTCACAGATCTGGACTCCAGAAGTATCTGGAAGACTCGCAGGTGGTATCTGGCACAGACACCATTTTCAAAAAAAGAGAGAACTTTTTTTTTTTTTTTTCTTTTTTTCGAAACAGGGTTTCTCTGTGTAGCTTTGCGCCTTTCCTGGAGCTCACTTGGTAGCCCAGGCTGGCCTCGAACTCACAGAGATCCGCCT